AAAGGTGGAAAGACTTGAGGCCACAGTTTTGAGAAGGACATTGGGGAGCCCCAGAGGAGGCGACCCCAGTGGTGAAGGGCCTTGAGTCTGTGAGGAGACTGGGGGAATATGCTGACTGTCCTGTGCAGGAGGGATTGGTCTGGCTCTGTGTGGCCCCGAGCAGGCAGAACCAGGAGAGATGGGGAGGAGGGAAGGTGGGGAAGGCCAGTTTGCTCAAAAGGTTGGTACCAAGTGGAACAGAGGAAAGCGGTGGCTGGGTGACCACCTGCAGGTATGTGACAGTGAGGACTCCCTCTGGGTAGACAGGCTGGACTAGGTGGACTCTGAGGGCCATTCCCATTCTTCAAGTCTGTGATACTGAGAAAGGGGGGTCAAGTAGGTGGCCATTGCAATAATCCCAGTGATAGAGTTTGGACTACAGTAGGGGTGTGTGTGTGTGTGTGTGTGTGTGTGTGTGTGTGTGTGTGTGTGTGTATGTGAGAGAGAGAGAGAGAGAGAGAGAGAGAGAGAGAGACAGAGACAGAGACAGAGAGAGAGAGACACACACAGAGAGAGAGAGAGAGAGAGAGAGAGAGAGAGAGAGAGAGAGAGACAGAGACAGAGAGACAGAGAAAGAGCCAGAGAGAAGAAGAGAGAGAGAAAAAAAAGAGAAAGGGAGATAAGAAGAGAGAGAAAGATAAAGACAGAGAGACAGTCAGATACATTGGAATCTTTTTCAATGGGGAAAGTTTCCTTCATTACTACAAATTGTAACCCGGCTCTACCACTTCTGTCTATGTGATCCTGGGCAGGTCATTTGCTCTCTGTACCTCAGTTTTCTCATCTGTAAAATGAGGGGGTTAGCCAAGATGGCTTTAAGGTCCCTTTCCAGTTCTACCCTTGTGGTTGCAGAAGTTAATTCTAGGGAGTTGCTTAAAGACCAGAGTAGTTCAGTCATTCATTTTTACACAGCTGTCATGAATGTCAGAGGGAAGATTTGTACCCAGGTCCTCTTGACTCCAAGCCAAGCCCAGTATGCTGGGCTTCCATTGCATAGACACAGAAGTGGCAATGTGGTACAGTGGTAAGAGCTCTGGCTTTGGATCCAGAGGACCTGGGTTCAGATCCCAATTCAGGTATGTGACTGTGGACAAGTCTCCTAAGTTTCCTCCTCTCTGATATGGGAGGGTCACCCTAGATGGCCTCTGAGACCCTTTCAGCTTTCCATCTACAGTTCTCTGATTCTGTGACACATTATTTATGCGGTCCGCACAAACAATTTTCTTATTAGTCACAAATGAAGCATTGATGTTGTGAGCCTGTCACCACAAGACCCATTATTCACGCTGCCTACTTTGTTGGAGCTAAATAAAAATGAAATTGATAATACTTGGTGCACAGAGGGATTCCCAAACCCCTTGAAATAACTGCAGCCCCTGGGGTCCAAGGCCCACAGCCTTGAAACCCTGCTTATTTTTTTTTGGGGGGGAGCACTAATAGCTAGTCCTTAAGCAGTCAACACACTCACTAGTCTGTGTTGGGGAGGCCCCTGAGAGTGGGGGTCCTGAGGCCTCTGACTATTTTATCACTTCTTATCCCAGGTCATAGGACTGGAACATTAGAGTTGGAAAGGACATGAGAAGCCATTTAGTCCAGGTCATTCATTTTACAGATAAGGAAACTGAGGCCCCAGGAGGTTAAGGGATTTGCCTGTGGTCACATAAAGTAGGCAATAAAAGGCAACACAGGAGACAAAATGCAAAGGGCCAGTTTTTAATTTTCAGCTAATAATCTTAATATGAGGGGTTTTATATCCTTTGTAAAAAAAGTTCATTTTAATCATAATAATAACTGGGGCAGCTAGGTGGCACAGTGAATAGAGCTCTGGCCTTGGAGTCAGAAGGACCTGAGTCCAAATTCAGCCTCAGACTTAACACTTACTAGCTGTGTGACCTTGGGCAAGTCACTTAACCCTGACTGCCTCACCAAAAAGCAAAATAAAAATAAAAATAAATAATAAATAACAATAACTGACATTTATACGGTGCTTTGAAGTTAGTGAAACTTCTTATGAATCTCATCTCATTTGATCCTCACAACAACTCTAGGAGGTAGGTGCAATTATTATCCCCATTTTGCAGATGAGAAACTGAGGCAGACCGAGATTAAGTGACTTGCCCAGAATCACACAGCTAGTGTTTGAAGCTGGAATTGAACTCAGATCTTCCTAAGTCCAGTATTCTGTCCACCGTCCCACCTCGTTGCCTAATAATGGTGTTTTGAGTTCCTTTTTTTTTTTTTTGGATGGAGGGGGTTGGATCTGTGATTTCTTCTTTTTACAAAAATATTAAACTTTTGTTTTTATATCACCTTTAATCCCAATATATCCCTCATCCTTTCCCTTTCAAAGAACAATTCTTTATAACCAAGACTGAAAAAAGAAGTTGGGCTAGGAGAAGCAATTAAGCAAATTGCAGTGTTCCACACCCATCGTCTCCCACCTCAAACAAGGAGGAAGAAAGGAAGGTGTATCTTCATATCTTTTCTTTGGCCCCACGCTGGGTCATTATAATTTCACAGTATTCAGTTTGCATTTTTCAGACCTGTAATTTCATCCCAAGGCAAGAGGTGGAGCAGTAGGGGAATTCCTGGTTCACAAATGCCCTTTTCTGATACAGATCACCACCTTTGCTCTAATTTACAGACTTGCTAGGGAGCACCCAGTTAAGTGACTTGTTAGTTGTCACACAGCCCATGTCAGGGTCAGATTTTGAATTTAGGCCTTCAAGCATTTAAGGCTGGACCTCTGAGCCCACATATCCGCTCTGCCACATTTTCTCTATGAGTCCCGTTGATACCAGCATCTTAATTTCAGTGCTCTGTGTGGTCTCCAAAAGTTATAATAAAAAGTGGTTGCCCATTGACAATGGGAAATGGCTGAGCAAGAGCAACAGATGGGGCACAGGAGCTGGTCACCCCATCTGCACAGGAGGTGGTCACCTCATCTGCTAGTGCCTTCCCTCCGAGGTTAGCTCCCACTTACCCTCTATATATGTTGTACGTACATTATTGTTTGCATGCTGTCTCTTCCGTTAGTCTGTGAGCTCCTGGAGGGCAGGGGCTGTTTTTGTCTTTCTTTGTATCCCCTGAACTTAGCACAGAGCCTGGCACATAGTAGGTGCTTAATAGATGTTTATTGATGGTGATGGGTTCAGACACCACTTGAGACACTTACTGGTTGTATGGCCTTGGGGAAGTCACTTAGCATTTCTGTGCTTCAGTGTTCTCATCTGTAAAATGAGTGGATTGGACTTGGTGACTTCCAAGGTGCCTCTAAATCTATGATTTTATAATAATAATAGCTAGCATTTATATAGTACCTACTATGTTCCACTCATTGTGCTAAATACGTTAGAGATATTATCTCATTTGGCCCTCACAACAAACCTGGGAGGTAGGAGCTTTTGTTATCCCCATTTTACAGTTGGGGAAGCTAAAGCAAATAGAGGTTAAGTGACTTGCCCAACATCACATAGCTCGGAAATGAGGCTGGATTTAAACTTAGGTCTTCCCAAATCCAGGCCCAGTGCTCTATGGCACTGTGCCACCTGTTCTTACCAGGATGATATTCTAATCTGAAGATATGAGTGTAATGAAATAGTATGGTGACATAAGAATTAATGAATATGGAGGATTTCATAGGTACATGGGAAGACTTGTATGAACTAATACCGGGGGAAGAAAGCAGAACCAGGAGGAAATTATACACAATGACTTCAGTAATGGAAATGAAAACAACACTGAAAGACAACTGACCTCTGACTAAATGTGATGACCGGCCATGATTCTAGGGGGCACATGATGAAACGTGCTTCTGTACTCTCTGTAGAGAGGCGGTGGACCTCAAGTATGGAATGCTGCATACACTGTCCTGTGAAGTCTCTCTATGAGTTGGTTTTGCTTAACTGTTATTCTTTGCTATTAGAGAGGATTCTGCTGGGAGGAGGGAAGGGTGTATTAGAAAATTACTGTGGTTTAAAATCAAGAGGCTTCAGTTTCCTCATCTGTAAAATGAATCAGTAAAACTTTGGAACAAAAATAATTGAATAATAAGAAAAAACACAATATTCCTGTTTGAAGATCTAATGTATTCCCTAAAATGGCAACTCTTGGTAGGCTTCTGATTGTCCAGTATTTCTGACCAATGGTGCCACTCCATAATGGAAAAGTATAGATGGGTTTCCCGAAAGCTGGCCAGGTTACTAGCCAAAATTTTGAGGGTGGCAGGTCATTACTGTTTACTTTCTCATCTTTCAAAAAGTACAAAAAATACTTTTTGTTAGGAATCAGTGAGACAAGGCCCTGAGGGCCTGGATATCAAAAGAAGCTTATCACCTTAAACCCCTTGGTTCTTGGAGCTGGAAGGAGGTTAAGAATCATTTAGCTACAAGCCATGGAAGGAATTGAGGCCCAATGGGATTAAATGGCTTTCCCTGGGTTACCCAGAAGACTGGGCATATTGAGACAGAGGACACTCTGAGGGATGGCTTGATGAAACTTGGGTCATTGGCTCTGAAGTCAGAGAACCTGGCTTCAGATTTTGCTTCTGATACACAGAACCTGGGTGACCTTGGACAAATCATTTAATTGTCTGGGTTTTAGCTTCCTCAGCTATAAAATGAGGGGCTGGACCAGATGGCCTTCGAGGTCGCTTTCAGCTCTGTCTGTGATCCTGTGGATACATTTTGAGGGTGAGGGCTATGAATTGAGCTTTCTGGGGACACGAACTTGGGATATTTTTTCGGATCAGGCCTAGGGATATTTTATCTGTTGCAATCTAGCATGTTCAGAGGTAATGACTTGGCATTTTACAATGCCCAGTTAGCATGCCTTTAAAAATGGAAAATCCCTTGTTTATCAAGGATTGTATTATTTCATGAGTTAAATTCTCAGGTATTGGGAAGGCAGCTTATTGAGTGACTGATTTTTTTTTTAATCTTTGCTCTTTCTCTGGATTCAAGGGTCCAAATCACAGAACTTCTTGTGGAATTCTCTTATTGATGGACTCACCGGGAACGTCAAGGAAAAGCCAAAGCCAACGATCGTTCATGATCCTCGGGCACCAGAAGAAATCTTAGCTGATGAACTGCCCCAACTGGACAGCCCTGAGGCCTTAGTGAAGACATCTTTCAGGTTTGGTGGATTGTGGAACCTTTCTTCTCTGGTTGGTTGATAATGGTATTATTCTTGATCAGATCAGCAAACTGTTTCTTCTTAAGTTCATCTTTTTGTGTTAACTGAACATTGGTTGAGGATGGAAGTTTATGGTCAATAGCAGTCTGATACCTGGCTTGATTTTCTTAGGTTTTGTGAAAATATCATTGGTATTTAACTGGTTGATGGCGTTTGGTATTGGTACTCAGTTGGTATGGTTATTTAGAGATTACATTTAATTAGTCATGATATTGGTATTAATTTGGTGTTGCTATTTTCTTGGCATTGTTTTTTAAATGGTGGTTGTATTTGGTTGGTGTGGACATTTAATTAGCAGTTGTAATTAATTGAGAGACAGCATAGTGGAAGCTGACAGAAACTGGAATCGAGAGATCTGGCTTCAGGTTCTGGAGTGACCTGGGGCCAGTTCCAGGCAAATCTGTAGGACTGTATTTTGCAGAATAGCTGCTGATCTGCACAGATAAAATTCATTTCCTTATCTGGGAATCTTCCTATGCTTCCTGTGAGCCCAAAACCCCCAGAAAGGTTTGTATTGGTGTTTAGTTGCTGTTGGTACTTAACTGACAGCTGTGTGTAATCAGTGCTGTTATTTAACAAGGTTGTATTTAATTGGCATTGGTATTATACTGATGGTGGTGTCTAATCAGTTTTGGTATTTGACTGGTGGTGGTATTTAGCATTGGTACTCAGGGTTGGCATTTGATTGACACGATTTTTCTCATTGGTGTTTGATTGGCTTTGACATTTGATTGGTCATAGTATTTAAATTGAGGTCGTTATTGAATGCTGTGGAAAAGGGTTCACTTGAGCATCCAATCTGAATTGGCCAAATGAGTGTTTTGGTTGCAAAGGTAGATGATATACTTGTTCTATATAGAGAAAAAATGTGTGTTTTACAGCCTTTGCTCTATCCTTTACACTTTATCCTTTACTCTACTCTTGTACCTTTAAAAGGAATGCTCCTAGGATCAAACAAGTAGTATGAGCAGAATTTCCCGCCTAAATTCAAATGTGAATCTTCCTACTTTGTTTGGCAATGATCTATTTACTTCACCAACATTAAGTATTTATTCTTGCACCTTCCTGTTTAAACATGTATTTTTAGTTTTCTGCCTTCCTCCCCTTTCCTATTTATCCTTTGATTAAATAAAAATTAACCTTAGAGTATTTTACTTAGCTGGATCATGTGAAATGAAATGTTTGTCTTGGCCTCTTTGGCCCAAAGTTTGTCTGCTTACAGTCCTTATCACTGGTCTTATCTGTTCTTGGCTCTGTCTCAGAACTCTCAATACAGGATTCCTCGCTGCTTCCATTCTATCAGCCTAGATTTATTATGCTGTTCTGAGTGTGTTGTGGTACATTGGCTTCCATGTATTTTATGTATTTTGTAGTTACTTTGGATGGAATTTCCCTTCATGTTATACCCTCCAAGTTTTTGTTATTGCTTTATAGAAATGCTAACCATTTTTTTGTGGGGTGTTCAGTTACTTTACAGAAGCTATTCATCATTTTAAGTAAGCGATTTGATGGTTTTCCAGAGGTAGTCTAAATAAACCATCATGTTATCTGTAAATAGAGATAATTTAGATTTATTTGCTCATGTTTTTGTCTTTAATTTCTTTCTTTTGTCTTATTGCTAATTCTTCTACTTCTAGAACTATGTCAAAAATAGAGGTAGGGATTGGATATCTTTATTTTACCTCTGTCTTTATGGGGAAGCTTTTAGGATTTCTCCATTAGAATAGTGTTAGCATTTGGTTATATATGTTTCTTTATTACATAAAAGATGATCCTTTTGTGCTCATGCTTTTTTTTTTAAACCACAAAGGAATATTGTATTTCATGGAAGGCTTTTCTATGTCTAATTTGATATAATCTTGTGGTTTTCTTTTGTTTTTAATATGATTAATAATGCTAGTTGTCTTCTAATGTTGAATCCTTATATCCCTTATATGAATATAGCTTAATCACACTGAATAATTTCATAATATATTGCAGTAATCTTTTTCCTGGGCTTTTATTAAAAACTTTTGCCCTAATATTAATGAGTGATATTGGTCTATAATGCTTCTCTTTCATCTTTTCCTGGTTTAGGATTAGGACCATATTTGTCTCATAAAAGGAATTCGATAGAGTGCTTTCTTTCTCAATTTTGGGAACAATTTTTGTTCTATGAATATTAATTGCTTTTTAAAAATTTGAGAGAATTCACTTTTAAATACCCCAAGGTTGAACAGGAATCTTTTTGCAGATAGTCTCAGAAGGATTTAAAAAAAGATGTTTTGGCCCACTTCATTTATTTATTGGGATTTTAAAAAATCCCATCTTAGTAAACATTAAATAAAATGAGCATTTCTATTGTACATAGTGAAATGTACTAAAATCAGGATTATATATGAAAATGAATATTGTATACAGCTTGCTTTTCTTTTAAAATACATAATAAAATTAACATATAACTTTTAAAGCGTTCATGTTCATCTATTCTGGCCTAATTTCTGTTCTCTTCTGACTATTGAAAATTTCTTAAATTAAATCTTTGCTTTCTTTTCTTTCTTGTCCTTTTTTTGGTCTACTTTAGCCCCAGCCCCATTGTCCCTCTCACTACCTTCCCCTCTCCCTGCAATACAGAAAAAAACAAACTCTTGTAAAAAACTTGAATAATCAAGCAAAATAAAAAGTATTCCCACACTGCCCCCATCTGAAAATGTCTCATTCTGCATCTTAAGTTCATTACCTCTTTGTAGTCTGTTCCATCATCAGTCCTCTGGAATTGTGCTTAGTTTTTGCATTGATCAGAGCTGTAGAGTCTTTCAAAGTTGTTTTCCCTCACGATGTTGGTGTTATTGTATATATTGTTCTTCTGGTTCTGTTTACTTCATTCTGCATCAGTTCATATAAGTCTTACCAAATTTCTCTGAAATTATTCTTTTTGTAATTTCTTATGGTACAATATTATACCATTACCCTCATAATTTTTTTCGATTGATAGACACTCTTTGGTTTCCAATTCTTTGCCACTACAAAAACAGCTGCTCTGAATATTTTTTAATACATGGGTTTGTTCTTTTTTTCTTTTTTTTTTTTGATCTGTCTGTCATGCAGGCCTGTTAATGGTGTCATTTGGTAAAAAGATGTATATACTTTAATGGGTGTATAATTTTGGAAATTTATTTTCAGAATGACTGGACCAATTTTCAGATCTACCAATAGAATATTAGTATGCCTGCCTTTCCCCAGCCCCTCCAAAATTGTCATTTTCCCTTTTTGTTATCTCTGCCAATTTGATAGATATGAGGCGGAACCTCAGAGTTGATTTAGTCTGCATTTCTCTAATTGTTGGTGCTTTGGAGCATTATTTAATATGATTATTGATAACATAGACTTATTCCTTTGAAAACTGCCTGTTCGTATCCTTTGGCTATTTATCCATTGGGAAATGGCTCTTATTCTTATAAATTTGAATCAGCTTCCTATAGAGCTTGGATATGAGGTCTTCATCAGAGAAACTTGCTCCAAATATTTTTCACAGTTACTTGTTTCCTTTCTGATTTTAGCTGCACTGGTTTTGTTTGTGTGAAAATGTTTACATTTTCTATAACCAAAATCATCTAGTTTATCCTCTGTGACTCTCTCTGTCCCTTGTTTGATCATGTACCTCTCCCCAGTTTGGCCTTTCGGGCCGTGGTGTAAGACTTTTGTTTTCCCTGTCTACAATGTATGATAGGCCTGACCCTATTGCTTTAGCTTAACCACCAATTAACTCTGTAACTTTAGTCAGGTCGCCTTGCAGAGGCTTATAGCATCACAGCTCTAGAGCTGAAAGGTACTATATATACCAGGTCTTTTAACTCTCTTATTTTACAGATGAGAAAACTGAGGCTCAGAAAGAGGTGGTGGATTATTTAAGATCACACAGGTAGTAGTCTCTTCATATGGAAAACAAGTGAGTTGTACTAAATGATCTACAAATTCCCCTTTTCCTCTAAAATTATATGATTCTAGGGAGGTATTTTAGGTTAAATAATGACACAGAAAGGGTTGTGACTCCTGAAAGTTACCTGTAGCACTCTTATCGAGTTCTCTGTGTTTGCATGAAATCCTTTGTCTAGTGCTGAGTTCCTCTAAGGTCTGTTTTGTGTCTAGCTTTTGTATGTCTATCACCTTGCCCAGTGCCTGGCACATGGTAGGTACATAATAAATGTTTGTTGTATTGTATGACTTCTGTGGCCTTCTCCCAGCTCAATCTTCTTATTCTATAGAATAATAGAAGGAACTATTGAACCTTAATTGCAGTGAAATGATGCAGGAGAGGCTGGTTAATATCCTGACACTCAGAATTTACCACTAGGGGACTTAAGAGAACAATGCATAGTCTCCCTGAGCTTTTTCTAGCTGAAAGCTCTGAGTGTGTGTGTGTGTGTGTGTGTGTGTGTGTGTGTGTGTGTGCGTGTGTGTGTGTATTGGTGGTGGTGATGTACAAACATACAAATGGAAAAGAGCCTTCATTTCCAGCCTCAGCAGGGTACTGCCCACTGGGAACCTTGCCAACGAGGTATTAATGCTTCCAGGTCTGTGGCCAAGTTGGGGAGTGCCTTGGGAGTGGTCACTGGGTAGACTCATTTGGGGATGACCATCTGGTCCTGTTTTGGATACCTCATTTTCTATATTTAGCTGGCTAAAGCTTGTTTTCATTTTTTCTTTAACCAATCAAGCATATGGTGCATGTGTTAGGGCGAAGGGCACATTCTCTGGTTGCTTTGAAGCCCTTTGGAAGGCAGTATAGAGCAGTAGAAAGAGTATTGGTCCTGGAGTCAGGAAGACATTTTGGCATTTCACCTCTAATGCTTAGTAGCTATTTGTCCTTGGAGAAGCCAGTTAACCTCTCTAAGCCTCAGTTTACTCATCTATGAAATGTGTATAATGATAACTTTGTTGGCCCCAAGCCCTCTCCTTTT